AGAAAGAATTAGATTCACTTATTCTAGTTTAGAACTTTTAAATTGTGAATTTGCTTTTGTTCAATGTGATTTGGAGAAGATGGGGGTGGCAAGTCTCTTTTTCTTTCTCTTTGTGGCTTTGTCGTAAACCAACATCATATTTGTGGTTAAAAATTGGGGTTCAATTTGGTAAAAACAAAAGAAGAGTCCCATCTTTTTGCATGTTTACTTTTTTCATATTTTATTTTCTTGGTTAAAACTTTTACCACTTGTCTAGCGTCAAACTCCAAATTTTAGGGTGATTAATAGGAAAAACTAAGGGGTCGTTTGGTATAATGGTGAAATATCTTATGGGGTGGGATATCTCAGGGGATTAGTTATCCCACCTTTTATATGAGATAACTAATTCCATCATTTTAGTGTAAAAGTTATCTCAAAATTAACTAATACCTCAAACCAAATATGAAATATAAAATTAATCCTAAACTCTTTCCTGAAATTATTATTTTTATTCCATGTACCAAATGACCCCTAAGGGATAGAATAGTTTGTATATTGTAACATTTCAAGTACAAAGATCAAATGTCTAATCTTTCTGCACATAAAGAGAGAAAAATAAGAAAAGAAAAAAGATTAAAAAGCAAATAAATGAGTAAATAAGTAAATAAATAAATGGGGCCTACAATGTCACGTAGTAGTCTTTTTGGATTGTTTTGAAGAGGTGGGTCCCAAGCTTCAATAGAGTCGTCAGCCATGTTTGACTCTCTGGCCATTGGACTGTTGATCTTATCTTAATGTTCTCAGATCCCTATGAATGTGAAATATGAATTTATATTTCCATTTTAGTTTTTGTGGTTTCAAATGGAAAATGTATTTACACTTTGAGTGACTGGCTCATCTTCAAGCTGCTTCACAAGCCGCACCACAGTTAACGCTTTGAGCCGATAATCCCTTTGCTTATATGATACGTAATAGTACATATATTCGTTTTTCTTTTCTTTTTAACGATAGTAGCATTGTTTGCATGCACTTATTAGAGGAAATAAAAAATAGTCAGATTTATAACTGGTAATTGAAATTTAGCTATTTTTTTTATATAAAGATAAAATCTGAACAAAAATACTCTTAAAACTCCGTAAAATATTCAGCATAATATGCTGGAGTTCGAATTTTTTACATATGAGCTTCTAACATAATGTGCTGGAATTTCATAATGTGATGGAGTTCCAACATAATAAGAGGGAGGTTTATATGCATGAGCTCCATAATCCAACATATTATGTTGGAACTTTTCATGTGCTGGAGTTACAACATAATATGCTGGAAGTTTATCTGCATGAGCTTCATAGTCCTGTATATTATGCTGGACTTTTCGTGTTTCAGCAAAATAGTGGCTATTTTTCAATGACTTTATAAACACTGGCTATTTTTCAATTATCAGTCCGAAAATTGGCTAACCCGTGCTATTTTCACCTCTTATTTGCAGAGATAGATCCAAAATTTAAATTCTATGGGTTCAACTATTAACGGTTTTAGCATTGAACCCGTTATATTTTTAAAGTTATGGGTTTTAACAATTTTAGCATTGAACCCATTATATTTTTAAAGTTATGAGTTCATATCTACTATTTTTGCAATTTTAATGCATTTTCACATATAAATTTATATTCCACGTCGAAAGTTATGGGTACAATTGAACTCGTTGGAAACACACTACATCTGCCCCCGGTTATTTGCATAAAATATTTATATCAAACCATATTAAGTTACTATGATTAATTATTTGCTTTTGTATTAGTTAACTACGGTTTAGTAATAACCATGTTTCTAACCTATAAGGTGTAAATATCTAATGCCGATAATCTTTTACCCTATTTCTTTGAATATCTGCCACCTTCCACAAATAACTTCGCCCCATTAGGCTTGATTGAAAGATACCATCTACCTTTTTTTTGTCTCTACTGACTACTGAGTTTTAAACCTTGCTCTCTAGCCTCTAGCATGCGGGGGGGGGGGGGGGGGGGGGGGGATATCATTTGACAAATTAGCACAGTAAATGACTATTGTGTATTTCTTGGTTATCACTTCGATTATGTTTGACAATTCTGGAAAAATGCATAGTTAAATCAATTTAGCGATGAATTCTTCATTTCAATGGAAATTTTTAACGTTTGTGCCCAAATCATTGGTAGTTGCATGATGCCAAACTCTTCTTATAATGTTTTTAGGTTTGTGGGATTGTACTTGTTTACCCTTAAAATTGGATAACAATTGAATTTGTAAATGGTTTTAAGGATACGTGGGCTAAATTGATACAAAGCGATAAATTAAATTACAATTAAAATAAAGAATGATAAAGTAAATTCAAACCACACAAATTGAACAGTTACAGCCTTGGGAGGTGAGCCACCCTTGAACAGAATGCACTTCGATTAGTGTCAAGACAGGTTGAATAAGAACTTTTAGGAGAAAATAATAGTATGTTGCTTCTAAATGATTGTTACCATCCCTTTACAAGTAATCAAACCCCCTTTATATAGTAGGGGGTCCTATGTTAAGTACAATTCTATGAAAGGTAAAAATCTTTTAATTCGCTAATTTGCCGGTTCCTTATTGATATGTGCCGAAACTCCCGCCATAATACCCGACCAGTCACGGATAATTCGACCTTCTGTTATTTCGGTCTTCTGTTGGCTATACCGATAATGTTTCCTTGAGCTCGTTCGTGGTCAGGGTCGATTCCGGGGTCATTGACTCATTGTTCTCGAAGACGAGCATTCTGACCTTGTGGTCTGGTTCGATGGAACTCGAGGTCGATCTCCAATCCCTCAGGTTCCAAGCCCGATTTGTCATGTAATAGACGAGCCCGGTTTCGACCGTATACTAAGTCCTTGTGATAAAAACTAGACTCATATGGTTGAGTCCTCAAAAAAAATACAAGATCAACAAAAAGGAAACAAGATTTTAAATACCACTAGACGCGGTGGTGGAGCCAAATTTTTTTATTAAGGGGTGTTAAAATTTCAAAAGGTAAATAACTGAAGAATTCAAGGGGATTCAACACATAGAGTATATACATAAAAATAAAATTTTAACCTTTCTAGACAGAATAATTTTCCAGAGGACGGAGTGTCAATTCATACCCCTTGGGGCTATGTTCCGGCACTAACTATGGGTAAGGACTCTGCGTGTGTGTGTGTACATCCTACTTAACCATTTAGTACAACCTGCTTATTCTTAACCTACTAAGACCTCCTTTTTAAATGAAACATACATAAAAATACTATCAAATATTAATAATAAAAACAATAACTTGTAGCCTCAGCAACCAAGTCTATAACTACAATTTCCCAGTATAAATGTCCCCTGTAATATCGGTAAAATTTTAGTTACATTTCGTTTTCAAAAAACCAGGGGACCATTTTACAGAAAAGGGAGGTGAGAAATGCTTTAATGAGTAAACTGACAGCAACTACCACCATTGACCTAGCCACGTACAACACAACACTTTTATGGCTAAAAGTTGAAAACCATTTCCCATATGCCCACTTCTTTGGACCATTGAACTAGTCTCTAGCACTCAATACAGACTTGTCTGGTTTCTTCTTCGAATATATTCTTGGTAAGTTGTTGAAATCACAACATTCCAATCTAATATCTTCTTCATTTTACTCTATTCCTTACCCATCTATTTGAACAGCAAACAACCAATTCAGATATTCACAACAAAGAATTACTCGATTCTCTTTTGGATAGGCCTAGAGGCGTCAACGAGCAGTTAACATAATTCTTCTAATCAATCCCTTTTTTAACAAATATAAATGAAAATATTTTCACTTTTCAAGATCTCATGGTCACTTGCACTATTCTAAACATACATAGGCTTTTGTTAAAGCGACCACGACAAATTCTCAGTAATTACTAGGACGGTTTTAAGCAAACAAAGCTTTCTCAAAAGCCTTTGATATGTACATGCGCAACAAGCAGTTCCACGATTTTACGCCAATGTCAATACACCGTTCAGGCCAAAGGCAACAGGCAGTGGCGGAGCCACATGTAATCAACGGGTGTCAATCGACACTCCTTCGTCGAACAATTACATTGTGTAGCTAGATAAACAAAATTATGTACATATACTACATATTGCACCCCTTGGCTTCTTCGTAGGTCTACTTCTTTATATTTTGATCCCCCCGTAGTGAAAATCCAAATTCCGCCACTGGCAATAGGTGCAATCTTTGTATGTGCAACTGCCTACAAGACCACTGGCATGGGTCTAAAACATACAAGCTTTCCTAAAAGAGACTAACGATTAAGTCAGCTATGATACTCACCCGCCTCCAAACATGTCAGTTGTCGTTCAGGAGACCAGTGATCACAACCCATGTACTCCTAACTATTTGTTCTCCTTATGTCGTTTTGTTTAAGAGAAAAAACTTATATAGATATAAAATAATATTCCTGCTAGTTATTTATGGATTGCATGAGCTTCAAGGGACTTGATGCAAAATAGTACTTAAAACATTAAGCTACTGATGCAAATATATACAAGTATGGAAGTATTTACCAAAAGAAATCAATCCTTGTTAGTATAATTTTGCTAAAAGTTGACAAAAGAAAACAATCAAATCTGGCAACAATGATGGACCCAATTAGTCTTAATAAAACATACTCTAAAGGGGCTAGAAAAGACTTTGCTCTCTCTTACTCCAGACACAAGGTATCCGCAAAAGAACTCGCTCATGACCATCAGATCAGATTGATGTAGACTTGTTGTCTATACAAAAAAAAAAAAAATATGAAGAGCCACTACCCCTATATTCAATTCAATGACAACTTGCAAAATTTGAAGATGATTATTGATTAACCCTGTCTCCTAGGCATAAATGATGATGGTCCAATCAAGAATGAATAGGGGCTTTCAAAAGGTACTTCACATATACCGGCTGCTTTCCGGGGTTGAATATAGTAGTCTTTATTATGGACTAAAATTAAGAAAATGGGACCAGCACATATTCATGTTTTCCAACGCTAAGGTTAATATCATAGGTGTGGAGATGGTTACCTGTTCCTTGAGGCTAACAAGAAGTTTTCTCCATGAAACAGATGGCATAGTGACTAGAAACCGGGATTGAAGATGAAAGCTCCATTGTTAGAAATCTGATATTCAAGACCTCGTGACCGGGTGGGACAGCACAACAGGAATGATGGATTTTCTTGATAGGACTTCCCAGCTACCTCATTTATGTAATGATCCGTGTATACAAGATCTTCTGGAGAGGATCAATCCATGTAAGGTACTTGGAGCTCGGATGTTAAGTGACATTGACAATCTGCATCCACTTCTGCAGAATGTAAAATACTTCTAACTACCAAAAACACGAGGGGAAATGAAAAAAACATCTCCTTTCATGTAGCCGCAGCCTGCATGTGGCTTTGTTAGATTTGTGCTGTGACTGGTCTTATGACATGCATTCTACGCCCTTTCTTTATCTGTGGATAGGAAATTCCTGTCAGAATTTCTCAGTTTCTGTCAACACTAATAGCTATGATTAGTCTTTACCCGATCATTCAATACCACACAAGCAACTAAATCACAGTTTATCTTTACCTGATTATTCGATACCACACAAGCAACTACATCACAGTTTATCAAGTCATGGGCATTATTTTAACTTTATTTCTGCAATCTATAGAGGCATACAAAACAATCATCAGCACAAACACAAATGAAAGCCATTCTTGTTAAAGGACATGTCATACACAATGTTTAAAGAAACCTACCTAAATATGAGCAGGGCAAAGTGGGCTAAATCAGTAAACGTACAGATCATTCCCATTGGAAGCAAACTTGACAAACTAGGAGAAATCAAAACGACAAATCAGTTTGGTAATGGTGTCATCCGAAGTTGTCTTGTCTCAATCAACATTGTTTTAGCACCAACTTTGAAAGGCCAAAATACTGGACTTGAATTAGATAGCAGCACCAATACCAAATTAATGTTAAGAAATTAAATAGAGGTTAGTCTATTCATAGAACAGAGAATCTATAATCATACTCTTTAAACAATAGGAATCAATGTTTAGCTAAAGCAATATAAATTAGAGAAGTCCCACAGCGTAGTATGATCAACAAAAGGAACGTTAACTCGGCATATCTTTTTAACAGTATCGAAATCCAGTTTTAGCATACTAAAGCAGCACTTAAAAGAAGCGCTCGATCAGGGTCAGAACTCACACCCCCACTTCAAATGGCTCCCACCAGTATTTATTGGAGAACTAGCCTTTATATCGTCTTTATAAGATTACTAAAGGGATTATCTTTTTCAAGGAGTAGTAATGGTGATTGGTGAATGGTCCAAAAACTTTCTCAACCCCCAAGGTAAAGGAAAACATGTTTATCATGAGTACAGACCAAACAAGAGAGCAGACTGATGCTTGATTTAATTTTTTCCCTTCTTATGTTTTGGTTGCAAGATTTCCTTTTGTCTGTGTCCTCCCATTCCTTAAGGTGGCTAGTGGGAGATTTACTATTTGTATCGACGAACTGCTCCTAGAACACCATTCGCTCATAAAACCATAACAGGACCAATATCATTTTAATCAAACAATTCATTCTTAAATGCAATTGTAAAAGTTTCATCCACACAATAGTCCCGGACTTCGACGTAGATTGATGCAAGAGCACCTTCAAACTCTCATCATTTCTACCTATAAGAAGAAATTTGAAATTAAGATACTTGGCCCTTAACACCTTACTTTACTAGTCCTGATTTTAATTTTCCTAATATTTAATGGTCAAATACACTAATCTGCAAATTAAACCAAGCGTACAATTTGAACTGATTGTCAATGCAACCTTTACATCATTGTCCTATCCTTGAGGTGGCTTACGGAAGCCTGAAAATTCTGGTGAAAAACTGTTCCTAGTACAACATTCACTCATCCAATCACACTGGAGAAACATATCAATTCGGTGCAAAAATGTGATGCACCCAAAATAATAGCAGTAGAATTTGACATCCTTTGTGTTAACAACTGAGATATCTAACTAAGCAGAACTTGAGATTATGAGTGTGTTTGGCACGACGAAAGACATTTTCCAGAAAACGACTAATTATTTTTTCAGAAACTATTTTTCTAGAAAATGTTTTCTGGTGTTGGCTGGAGAGTGGAAAGTATATTCAACATAATGCTCTTGAAGTCAGAGATGGACTTTTTCACAACTTTTGGTAGTTGTGGAAGACACCTTCGCCATTCAATTGTACACGCTCAATCAGCTTAAGTTACTTAACCCAAAGAAGCAGCATACCCAAAATATCCACAATGAAGCTTAATAACAGGAGAAATTATTGAGCAGGGAAGGAAGGAATAATGGGTCAGAGAACCTCTTTAAGCCCTTAAACAAGCTTTAGCGTCTCATTAATCACTATGTAGCAAGGACAAATAATTCTTTTGTCCAAATTTAACAGCACTTGACGGAACCTCTAGAGGCTTGTCGATGTTGACTCCAGCTCCTTCATTGAACAACGAGTAACGTGAACTATCTATAAGTACTTATTCTATGAAGGTACGTAACAACAGAAGCAATAGGCTGCAGAAAACACTTCTACGGACAACATTTTGTACGACATTCACAACATCGAGTTACAAATAGAATTTTTTTACTAGCTCAAAATTAATATTGTAGGTGAGAAAAAGTTTAGACTGTTCATTATATCCAACAAGTATTAAAATACAGAATTCTTCTGATTGTAGCAGCTTTGATGAAGCAAGAGGCCTTACACGTATAACTAATCTTTAGTGTCATCCTATTGACAGCTTCACAATCATGAGACAGCAAATTCCAACTTTCAAGTATGCACAGGATTAAGAATTTAGTTCCACAAAGTCCTGAACGCATAAAGTTAAGTCCTTACTTATCAATGCCTGGATCTAATTAAGGAAATGTTTTCCGTTAAAAGAAGATCAGATGGTTACAAATAACCAACTAAAGGCATATGCAAAATCACATTTGATATGCCTAATTTCCATACATAAATATACATATTATATGACCTACCTTTCGAATCAAGGTTATCAAAAAATATATTTTTTTCCATAATGTAAAAAGTAATTTCTCCAGAAGTCAAGTTCTCCAGCAAAGATTAAGTTTATCACATCAATTGATAGATGGTCTAAGACAAACCCCTTACCTATACCTAGTTCCGCCCCTATTGCAGGGTTTCCTTCACATGCTTGGCATCATCCATTGTACACCGAACCAATTCAGGACCACCCACCACAAATGCGCTGCCATCCAATAATGTAGCAGAAGATGATTTACATGAAGACCGAACATCTACACATGATGCACCCACTAATAAAAATAATCCTCCACTTCATCAGATTCTCCCTGCTATCGATGTCTCTACCTTGGTTATCAGCCAATCAAAGAAACACACCTTCCTAGATGTCCTGGGGATCTAGATTGATAAATGCAGGAAAGTGGACAGCTCTCTCACTAGCAAACTCTGGAAATCTGACTGTCAACAAGTTATTCCTCTTCACTCCTTATGCGAGCATGAATATAGGAAGACCTGCACCTGAGTTTAATAGAAGGAATTTCTTCTTGAAGGATATAAACACAAGCTCAGGCATATGAACTTGAATCCTTGTACAAGGGTGAAGAAAGCCAAACCATGTAGCTGAATAGGAATATTTTCCATTGGATAATTTCAACTAGTCAGATATACATTTTCTATCGTCCTGTTCAGGCATGCATAAGTGGGTAAAGATTGGCAATTATGAACCTGAACTACCAGGGTTTAGATCATTTAAACTGTATATACAGAAAAGAGCAAGTCATCAGATTAACTGAGTGCAAAAATGCTACTATTATCTTTAATTAAATCTGTTGTCCTGCAAAGAAAGCTTTCAAGCTACTATCACCACCAACCCAACTGAAGCCTGTACCTTTTGATATTCCTCTAATCTTCATAATCTTCCTAAGTTCACTTACACCATCCCATCTCCCAGCATCTGCCAGAGCATTAGATAGCGCAACATATGCCCCTGGACGACTATCACTACTCAGCTTGAAAAGTTCATTGGCAGCTAAATTAGCCAATTCCACATCTCCATGCAGTCTACAAGAACTGAGTAAAGCTGCCCAAACATCAGAATCTGGCCTTTCAGTCATATTAATTACAAACTCTAATGCCTGATTTAAACTCCCAGAGCGGCCCAAGATATCAACCATGCAAGCATAATGTTCCGTCCTTGGCTTCATAGAATAATCTCTCTCCATGCTTTCAAAAATCTCTCTTCCTTTAGCAACTAGCCCAGAATGTGCACAAGCAGAGAGAGCACTTAGAAATGTAACATAGTTTGGAACAATGAGATGATCTATTTGCATTATACTAAATAGTTCAAGCGCCTCATTAGGATACCCATTTTTCCCATATCCGTCAATCATGGAAGTCCACGAGAAGACATTCTTCTCAGGCATGTAGTTAAAGACTCTTCTTGCATCCTCAACCAACCCACACTTCGAATACATGTCAATTAAAGCACTTCCAATTTTTACATGCTCAATTAACTCGGTCTTCATGAGCTGCCCTTGAACTTGTTGACTAATTTCAAATTCTGCTAGAGCAGAACAAGCCCCAATAATGCTTGCAGAAGTAGAAATGTTCGGCCTAAAACCCAAACGTTGCATGTCAATGTAAACCTCAATTGCCTTCTTAGCATTTTCAACTTGTTTGCTATAACCTTCAATCATTGCATTGAACACCACAACATCTTTCTCTGTCGTTCTACTAAACACATCTTCAGCATCCTCAATATAACCCTGATTCATGTACCCTGTTATCAATGACGTCGAGCAAACTACATCCTTTTCCAACATCAAATCAAACACTCTCCTCGCATAGTCCACCCTCCCGCTCTTCACATACGAGTCAACTAATGCCGTATAAAGCACATCATCACCCTCAACGACGCATTTAAATATCCGGGCATGAACCGGTTGTCCAATACAAGGAAAATATAACTCAGCATAGCTACTAGTGGAGCCCTTCAAGATCATTGATAATGTATACGCATCTGGAGTTTCACCAGAAAGACACAGCTTTCTAACCATATCAAAAGATTCTAAGACAAACCCATGTTTTACATAACCTGAAATCATGTAATTATAAGCAGAGAGAGTCGGCTGACGCATTTCGTCGAACATTTGGCGCGCATAGAAAAGGCAAGAAGATTTTAAATGAAGTATCATAAGCTTGATACATATATTGGTATTGGGTTTATATCCAGCTTTGAGAATGTATGAATGGATCTTTTGGCCATGTATAGGAGTGTCCGAATTGATATAGTGTTGTAGAGCTAACGGCAGTGAAGAAAATTTTGGCGGCCATAAAAGGTGGTTAATTTCAGTTTCTTTTAACGGGACCAAAGATTTGAATTTGGGTATTTTGGCATTTATCATCTTTAGTTCAAGACTGTCTAGAAAGAGAGGCGCAAAACTTTATACTACTACTACTATTGCACCTTGGTTTCTTTATTGGGAAAATGGTCGAGTTGTAGCTTACGGATTGAATGAGACACAAAATCAACATCACCATTTATCACAAACTAAAGGGATGTTTTAGAACGAGAACATCACTTCCATAAAATGTCTTAAATTATAGTGTAAAGCGGGGGAAATTTAAAAATAGTCAAATTTATAAGTGGTAATTATAAAACAGCCACAGTTTTAAAAGTAATTGAAAGTTTGTCACTTTTCGAGGCCGTTTGGACATAAGAAATTTTTCTCCTTCAAAAGAATTTCACTTTTTTCCGAAATCAGTGTTTGTTCATAAAATTTTTAATTTTCACTTGAATATGCATTTTGGAAATTTTCGAAAATTTGAAAAACTCCAAAAAGCTGTTTTTCAAATTTTTCACTCAAATCACTCACAAAACTTCAAAAACAACCCAAATTATATTCATGTCCAAACACAACTCTAAATTTCAAATACCATTTTCCCTTGAAAAAATTTTCCCCCCTATTTTGAAATTTTACAATTCTTATGTCCAAACGCGCACTTCATGTAAAGATAAATCTGAAACAAACACACTGTTCAAAAGCCAAAAAATATTCCAACATAATATATTAGAGTTCGAATTTTTTACATGTGAACTTCCAGCATAATATACTGGAGTTCCAGCATAATATGCTGGAAGTTCATACACGGGTGCTCCTATCTCCAGTATATTAAGCTGGAACTTTTCGTGTGCTAGAGTCCCAGCATAATATGGTGGAAGTTCATATACAGGTACACCAATTTCCAGAATATTATGCTAGAACTTTTCGTGTTGCAGCAAAATAGTGGCTATTTTTCAACGAATTTGCAAACGCTACTATTTTTCAGTTACCAGTCTGAAAACGGGCTAGCCCGTGCTATTTTGTGACGACCCGACCCGTCGTCTCATGTATTACAGCCCTGTTTTCCCTATTTATTACTCTTTCATGTTTTATTATCAGCAACGGGTGAGTTAGAGTTGAATTGAATTGGTTTGGATAGGAAATGAGACACTTAGTCTCTTTAAGGAAGGTTTGGTTTGGAAAAGTCAACCGAACGTTGACTTATTAGTTAGAAGGCTCGGATGCGAATTCCGGTGATTCGGTTAGCTTCGGGGGGTGATTTGTGACTTAGGAGTGCGATCGGAAGTGATTTTGGAGGTCCGGAGTAGAATTAGGCTTGAATTGGCAAAGTTAGCATTTTAGCGAATTCCGGTGGATAGGTGAGATTTTGATCCGAGGGTCGGAATGGAATTCCGAGAGTTGCTGCAGCTTTGTTAAGTGATTTTGGATATGTGTGCAAATTTTCAGGTCATTCGGACATCGTTTGGTCGGGTTTTTGATCGAAAGTGCATTTCGGAAATTCTTGAAGAACTTAGGCTTGAATCCGATGTGAATTGAAGATTTTAGTGTTGTTAGGTGTGTTTTTATGATTGGAGCAAGTTCGTATGATGTTTTAAGACATGTTGGTGCTTTTGGTTGAGGTCCCGGGGGCCTCGGGGTGATTTCGGATAGCCATCGGGATGAAATTCAAGTTGAGGAAATGGCAGATTTTGCTGGTATCTGGTATGTTCGCTTCTGCGGAAATGGACCGCATAAGCGGTTCCGCAGAAGCGTAATCTTGGTCGCAAAAGCGTTCTGGAGTGGAGTTGGGCAGTTCCGCAGAAGCGGAACACTTTCCGCTTAAGCGAGTCCGCAGAAGCGGATAGGCGGTCGCAGAAGCGGGTTTGGCCAGGAGGTGAGCTTCCGCAGAAGCGGAAATTTGCGTCGCAGAAGCGGCCCTTGAGTTTTAATGAAATTCCGCATAAGCGGACAAAAACCGCAGAAGCGGTTGCGCGGAAGCGGGCGTGGGGAGCGCAGAAGCGGAAACCCCTGAAGCCAGTAGGAGTTTTATATTCATTTTTGTTCCGCGAGGGTTATGTTATTTCCACCATTTTTAAGCGAGCTTGGGAGCTATTGGACGGAATTGAAGGGGGATTTCGACTAGGTGTGATTGGAGGTAAGTCCCTTGGCCTAAATACATGGAACTTTGATAGATTTAACATGGAAATTGGTTGAAATTCTTCAAAAAGGGGTAAAGCTAGGGCTTGAGTTTTGATATTTTAAATTGGAATTTGATAGGTCATTTGAGCTCGGATTTGGGAGTTCTTGGTATGTATGAACTTGTGACGAGACGAGGAATCCGGTAATGTGAGTTTTCTAATTTTTCGAGAAGCGGTCCCGGGGCTCGGGTTTTGCTAGTTTCGAGATTTCTTGCTAATTTTCGATTGTTTTCGATTGGGTATTGTTCCCTTAGCATATTGTGATGTATTCGCTCTGATTTTGGTTAGGTTCGACGCCCGTGGAGGCCGGTTTGAGGGGCAAAGGTGTCGCGAGCTAGGGATTTCGCCGGTTCGAGGTGAGTAATACTTGTAAATGATATCCTGAGGGTTTGAAACCCCGAATTTGCACATCATGTGCTGTATTGTGGTGACTTGCACGCCAGATATGAGCGTGGGGTAGAGCACCGTTGGGGATGGTGACTTGGTCCGTCCCGGTTGTTGATTTTACTGCGTAATTGACTAANCAGTAAGGCTCTTGAGTTCTGACAGCTTGCTTAGCTTGGTTCGGTAGAAGGATTCAGTCCTGGCTAATTTAGCTTGTGCAATGGAATTGGGGAGAGTTCTTGATAAGTTTTACCGTGGTTTAGAGACGTATAAATTGCCTATGGGCATGCGAAGCATGGAATGTGTAATGATTTCTCTTCTTGATGGGATTGATGGAGAGTTCTTGACTAGTGGAGTACGTAGATGTTTGTGGTTAGGAAGGGACATGGAGTTCTCATGTTATACTAGTGTGGTATGGTATATGTGATATGTGGTGGAGGATTGGGATTTGTGTGTGTAAGGTTACGGTTCTGTTCATAATGGAAAGTCATTAAATTCTTAAGCAGCACGGGCAGCTGCAGGTGATTAAAGAATCGATCTTCAAATGATTAAGGAAAATGGTATTGCCAACCATAGTGATTCGACGGGGGTATATGTTCCAGTAAAAGGGCAATGTGATGTAAACTGATAATACTTCGGTAGTGTTGCGGCATTTGGGATCGACTATTGATATCTAAGTTTGTTTGATGGCAGGGAAACTTTAGAATACCTTTCGTGGGATGATTTGGTACTTGAGGTGTGATATGTATTCGTACGGCGCAATTTGGGATCAGGTATAGTGATTTGTGTGCTATATGGAGTTGGAGACTAGGAGTTCTCGTGTTCAGGCTATGCAGTTGTTGTAAATCGTGTGTATCGGCACCGTCTAGCGGTTATTGGGAATTAGAGGTCCGAGTGGATCTTTCTTTGCTTGGTATACCAAATTTTGGATATGATATTGGATTGTAGGCTGGTTGTCTCAGTGTTGGGTTATTCTAGACTATTGTGCTACGGGCTAGGCCGGAAATGCCACGGGTTGAGCGGCAAGGTGCATTGGATTATGTTCATGCAGAGTGGTATATATTTCAAAAGATGCAGCGGACGGCTGAGAAGGATTGCTTTTCTTAATGGGGCATTCGTGATGGACGTCAGTGCAGAGGTTTCAACCATTGACTCAGTTCCGGATTGAGTGACTTTTCGGATGCAGTTTTTTTTTGTGGCCGGGCATGCGCCGGGTGAGATGGCGGATTTCGGTATTTATTTGGTGCCGGGCACCGTATCGTACGGCTCTGGCAGGAGTTATAGTAGTGGAAGGAGCAGCTTCAGGCTTCTTGGTATTGAGTTCGTTGGCAGGCCAATGTGGCTACGTATTTAGCTTGAGTTAGCTTGGTTAGTCTTGAGTTGTATTGTTGAGGGACAGGTGGATTCGATCGTTATTGAACTTGTTAGTGATCTGGGGAGATCTATGAGTTGCTTTTTCTGTGCTGTGAGGCGTTATGATTTGTTGGTTATGGGCACACGTGGTGCAAATCTATTGGGGATTCATAGTGGAAGTCGAGCGGGAAGAGTAATCGTATGTTGCTCGGTAAATGGAGTGTGGGTTATGACCTATCAGGTGGCGTGTCGTATGTTGTTTATTTCATCGTAGGTGCAATGAATTTCCTTGGTTTCAGACATCAAATTGTGTGTGGCTGTCGAATTTTGATCACAGTGTCTTGAGGTGCTCCATGTGTAGCAGTGTTTGGATAGGATCGCGCATTGTAGCGAGGCTGCGTTGAGTTATGACCTTTCGAGGTAGATTCAGGTGTTCTATTTCTATGATGTGAGACGGGGTCTCAGCATGGTGTTGTAATGGTATTGATGAGCTTGAAGTACAACTCTTTTGTTTGAGTTATTTTCATGATTTGAGTATATTCAGGTCGTTTTTTTTGTTGGTACGCGTATTATGCAAGTTGTGGCTTAGGCCTGTATTGAGGTATCATATCACCAGAGTGGTGTGTTGGATTCGAGGTGATCCTTAGAGTCATTAATGAATACGAACAGAATTGATTGCAGCTTGTTACAGAGGTAATATCAAGGTATGGCCTGGAAATCTGTTGTGATATTAGTCAAAGGGAAGTGGCTTCATGAATGGTTGATCTGAGGAATGGTTACGGTTTATCGCGTATTTCATTTGTTGTTGGCAGTATATGGAAGTTTTGGAATAAGACTTGAGCTAATAAAAGGTTTTCTATCGGTATTTGATTATTATGGGCAACTGCTGTAAATAGAGGCTATCGTTTCTAGTGTTTGGATTATGTGGTATATCATATGATTTCACCTGAGGTTGCAAGTATGGGTTATTACAGCTGGTTCGGGTTTATTCTGGGTATAGATGTGAGGTTCTGATATTGTGTATGATTTCGGAAAGTGCAATGTGGTTCTATGGTTTATGGTTTAAATGGACTGTGAGATTTCGGCTATATTGTGTTGTCGGACCTATATGAGATAGGGTGACGTGAGATCACCCCGGGTATATGCTTGGTAAAGTTATTCAGCTGTTGGTTAGCTTCTAGGACAACTCTGGGTACGCTCGAGGATGAGCGTTGGTTTAAGTTGGAGAGGATGTGACGACCCGACCCGTCGTCTCATGTATTACAGCCCTGTTTTCCCTATTTATTGCTCTTTCATGTT